TGGCTTCTTCGACTGAGTTTGGGAGTATTCCCTCCTCTTCTTCTTGGAAAGCTTTAAGGAGGATGGCTATTAGGTCTTCACTAAATGTTTATAAAATTCAGTGGTGAAGCCATCTGGTCCAGGAGTTTTGCTCTTAGGTAGTTTTTTGATTACCAATTCAATTTTGTTGCTGGTAATTGGTCTGTTCAGATTTTCTGTTTCTTCCTGGGACGGCCTTGGAAGGTTGTATTTTTCTATAAAGTTGTCTATTTCTTCTAGGTTATGCTGTTTGTTACCATATAATTTTTCATAGTATTCTCTAATAATTCTTTGTATTTCTGTTGTGTCTGTAGTGATTTTTCCTTTCTCATATCTGATTCTGCTTATGTGTGTAGACTCTCTTTTTTTCTTGATAAGTCTGGCTGGGGGTTATTTATTTTGTTTATTTTCTCAAAGAACCAGCTCCTGCTTTCATCCTTCTATTGTTTTACTCTTCTTGATTTTATTTATTTCTGCTCTAATCTTTGTTATGTCCCTCCTTCTACTGACTTTGGGCCTCATTTGTTCTTCTTTTTCTAGTTTCATTAATTATGAATTTAGACTGTTCATATGGGATTGTTCTTCTTTCTTGAGGAAGCCTGTATTGCAGTATACTTACCTCTTAGCATGACCTTTGGTGCATCCCACAGATTTTGCTGTGTTAAGTTATTGTTGTTATTTGTCTCCATATATTGCTTGATCTCTGTTTAATTTGGTCATTGATCCATTGATTATTTAGGAGCATGTTGTTAAGCCTCCATATGTTTGTAGGCTTTTTTGTTTTCTTTGCATAATTTATTAGTTTTATACCTTTGTGGTCTGAGAAGCTGGTTGGTACAATTTCAATGTTTTTGAATTTGCTGAGGCTCTTTTTGTGGCCTAGTGTGTGATCTATCCTTGAGAATATTCCATGTGCACTTGAGAAGAATGTGTATCCTGCTGCTTTTGGGTGGAGTGTTCTGTAGATATCTGTTAGGTCCAACTGTTCTAATGTGTTGTTCAGTGCCTCTGTCTCCTTACTTATTTTCTGTCTGGTTGATCTGTCCTTTGGTGTAAGTGGTGTGTTGAAGTCTCCTAAAATGAATGCATTGCATTCTATTTCCCCCTTTAATTCTGTTAGTATTTGTTTCACATATGTAGGTGGTCCTGTGTTGGGTGCATAGATATTTATAATGGTTATATCCTCTTGTTGGACTGACCCCTTTATCATTATGTAATGTCCTTCTTTATCTCTTGTTACTTTCTTTGTTTTGAAGTCTATTTTGTCTGGTACCAGTACTGCAATGCCTGCTTTTTTCTCCCTATTAGTTGCATGAAATATCTTTTCCATCCCTTCACTTTTAGTCTGTATATGTCTTTGGGTTTGAAGTGAGTCTCTTGTAGGCAGCATACAGACAGGTCTTGTATTTTTATACATTCAGTGACTCTGTCTTTTGGTTGGTGCATTCAGACCATTTACATTTAAGGTAATTATCGATAGGTGTGTACTTATTGCCATTGCAGGCTTTAGATTCATGGTTACCACAGGTTCAAGGGTGACTTCCTTACTATCTAACAGTCTGACTTAACTCAGTATGTTGTTACAAACACAATCTCAAGGTTCATTTTTTTCCCTCCTTTTTCTTCCTCCTCCATTCTTTATATATTAGGTATCATATTCTGTACTCTTTGTCTATCCCCTGATTGACTTTGGGGGTACTTGTGTTTAATTATAGAATCATAGCCCTCATAGACAAGTAAATATAATCACAAGAGAAATAGGAGCTATAGGTGTACTCTTCTACTTCCTATGAGTTTAGAGAGTTATGTCAAACAACTTGACATCAAACTAAATTTAATAAAACTACTCATCTCACCTTCCATATTAAGCAGAAAATGTCTCCACTGAACCCTAAAGAAATGTTATGTTTGCTTCCCTGTTTTTATGTGGTGGTCTTGGACTTCTCACAGTCTTTTAGGATTTTTGATGTGAGTATTTTGTGCAAAGGAAAATTTTTCTTATGCTGATTCATACTGATAAGTGCCGTATCCATTCCCTCAATGATCCCCTAGTTATGTAATTCTGGAGTTGTTTTTCTTTAGCAGGTTCCCCTTTGCAGGCCCTGTGGGTCCCCCTCTTGGCTCAATGTGACTCTTTTGGTCTTTCTTTGTTGTTGTTTCTGTTTGGAACTTGAGCTCTTGAAATATGAATAGTTATAAATCTCAGGAATCAACATGATAATCTTTTTAAAAATCTACTTAGAGTTCAGGAATCTCTCAAGAGCCTCATACTGTTTTTAACTCTTCTATAGAGCTTTAGACATGGCATTGAGAATGCCCCAAGATAGGAGGGTTTTTTTGGGGGGGGGTGCGGGGGGGGTGCTGTGTGTGTGCATTTAATGTGAAGATTACTCCAACATCATTTCATAAACATAATGCATTTTTCCGCACATGACTAGTTCAAAGGAAAAAGCATTTTTTGATCATGACATCACCCCCTTTATTGACTAAAATGCCTGAGTTCAAATGTCAACCTCTACCAAGCTGCCATGTTAGTGAGCCTCAGCTGTCTTTTTAGGGAAATGGTATACCTCTGGCTCATTTCGAAAAGGTCCAGTGAGGATGAACCCAGGCAGGATATTTTTTGATAAGTTGATTGATTGTCTAAACTTCAGTTGATTTCAATACAGTATGTCTGTTATGAATGTGGAAGAAAAGTGACATTCCGAGTCTTAATATTTGGCTCTAGCAGTAGTGCCTGTACCGTGCAGCTAAATCATCCCAAAAATGTTTTCTTCCACGCATGGTTCCAAGTTTTTAAGGATGGGAAGACACAGAAGGTTTTTTCCTTTGAGGAATATTGTGAAATTTATAGAAAGCATTCTTGTGTATGATCCCACTGGATCCTCAGGCCAGCCCCTCGAGCTGGGCAAGGCTGCTGTCATTCTCCCCATTTTACGGGTTTTTAACCACGAAACAGAGAGTGAGTGAAAATCGCCTGAGGCCACATCAGTCAGGGGTAGAGTCTTGAAAAGAACTCAGGTTTTCTCCCTCCTGGCCGAGCATTAATATGACTGCTTGGACTGTGGACTCAGTTTTTTACAGGCAGACTATTCTGTAGCCCTTACAGATCTGTTTGTGGAAGAACTACCTTGAAGCTAAGCATCAGGTACATGGAGCTGGAGACAACGCAGAGGGGCTGCCTGGGAATTCAGACTGAAGAGTCATAGGAAGTCCATGGCCAAACAGCAGCTGTTCCAGGGTGAGGGGCTCTGGAACTGGAGCTCGGTCAAGGCCTGGGCAGTCAAGACCGTTCTGGGGGTAGGAGTTTTAGAATAAAAGGCGAATTATTTAGAATCAAAGGTAAATTCAAAACCAGGAGGATCTGGTTGAATGCAAGGGGTTGATGAAGGCTGCTGTCTGTTTTAACCGTCTGCCAGTCAAAAGAAGAGACAGTCTGTGGTGCAGTAGTCGGGCCACACTTAGGATAGGCCGGTCGTTTTAAAGGGGAGTGTGTCGTGTCAAGCTGAGGAGAGGGTTTTGCTGTAGTTTCAAGTCACCCGTTCCCCTTTCACTCTTCCTTTCCCAGTTGTAATTCTTACCTTTTCCCGTCTCCTTTTCTTTGCCCCATTGTAACCAGAGATCTCAATCCAATCTCATTATTTATAAATTTTAGTACAGATAGGAACAGGCTATCCCTGTGAAATAATATTAATAGGGGCTTGTGGCCTTTTTTTCCCCCCAGAGGAACAAAGAAACAGCATCATCAACTCCAGTTTGGAATCTGTCGTCTCATCGAATACAAACAGCATCCTTAATTCCAGCAGCAGCTTACAGCCCAACATGAACTCCAGTGACCCAGACCTGCATGTGCTCAAACCCACGCGGCCCAACTCACTGTAAGTGTGCCGTCCGGCGGCCCGCACGGTAGGCCCTTGACCAGCTGTTCTGCCCAGGATCTGGTCTCCCGTCCCATCTGACCTCGAGCTTTGTCCCATGAGTGTGATTTAAACCTTCTCCCTACACTTGAAGCTTGGCTCGTTTGTTACGGGCTTTTTAAGCATCATCATCTCAAAGGGGAATTGTTATTCTTAATATACTGCTTCCTGGCCTTGGTGATCTTTGGTTTACCATCCTGCTGAGATGGCTTTTGTGATGGCTGTTGCCTGTGCTGGCTGCTGGGCATGAAAAGCAATTTCTTTTAGTTTTACAAACACCCAGGTACTGTAGTAGCTCAGAAGACCAGTAGCCAAGTCTGTCTGGCTCATTCATGTTGTCTCGGTTTCCTTCCTCCCTCTGTTGAGAATGTTCAGCGCCACCTCTGTGTCCACTTACGAAAGAAGAGCCCCCAGTAGCCCTTTGAGACAGATCCTCAAACGTCAGCAGGCTTGTGATCCCGTACCAGACGGTATGAGAGAGAAGAACATGTGTTGCTCCATTCCTGGAGATTGAGCACCCATAGCCAAAACAGACAATTTTGGGGTTTCTTGTCCAGTCCTCCATGAAAGCTAGGTCTACTCCGCTAGGGCCAGAAAGTTCTATCGTATGGTTTTGTCCCACATGGCCTAGCATACTTCTTCAGACCATCCCGTAAATCTTGTCAACTGGAGCGTTTGCAGAAAAAATGTGAAGCCACCACAACAGCCAAACTCCCAGGCCACAGTTGTATAAGCCTCGGGAAAAGCAGGGTTGATTTTTCCATCCTATGGTGGCCTCAGTTCGAGGTTTGAACACAGTTTGTCTTCAGGGTGGCAGTTTCACCTGAGGAGACACCAGGATGTTGGAATTTTGGGTGCCCCTCTGCAGGGCCTGGTTGCATGATCACACCCTGCCATTCTGTCTCTTCAAGGTGCTTAGAGATCTGCAGAGCGAGCCCAACCACTTTGCCGTAGAAGAGACTAAGGGATATTAAGGCTTGGTAGGAAAAATGACTGTGAAATGGACTTTAAAGGTACTTTTACTGCAAATGCCACAGCAGCGTAAGATGATACTGTACATGAGAAAGTCAGGCCTCTTTTTAGTTGTTGGCAACTTTCAATCCTACCTTGATAATCGGGAAGTTGAACCGCTTACTCGCTGTTTGGTAGATGATGTGTTTGTTCATCAAGTAGACCAGTGCCGCAGGAGCGCATGGTGATGGAGCCGGTCCAGCTCGCGGGCAGTGAGTCTCTCCTGGCTCTGCAGGGCCCGTCCTGCCGGTGGAGCCTCCCTCCCTTGCTGTCTGGCTTTCTCGGGCACTCCTAGACCTTAAGGAGATTCTAGGTCTGGTTTTTTTCCATTTTGTTTAAACCTCTGAACCTTTCAGTTCCTGGGGTCATTTATTGCTCAGCATGAGCAAGTTTGGAGTTCCAGCCCAGGTGGCTTAGCACCCCCGACGGCAGCCAGCAGGGGTCTCCGCTCCCTGTTTTCAGCGGCCGGTTGTGGAGGGCCCCCTGAGCCTCCAGAGTGCATTGTGGACACAGAGGCTGCCTCGGCAGCTAAGCAGAGAAGGGGGGATGTGTTTTAAACATATCCTGGAGGAGGGGCTTGGGATTATCTTTTTCAGTTATCTAGACATGATTTGTTGCACATAAAAAAAAAACACTGGGGGTCACTCTGCCCACGTGACGCCACCTGCAGGGGTTGTCCCCTGTCTGCTGCAGATTCGGGGGGCCTTCCCGGGGTGGATGGTGCTGCCAGGCATAATTTCTCCTGTTTGCCCTTGGAGAAGGGCTGGAGGTCGGGGTGTGGGCGCATTCCCAACAAAACTGCTGAGCTTCCGCGCTGAGGGAACGCCTGACGCCTGTGAGTTCTGAGCCCCAGGAAGGCGGTTCTGGAGGAGGAAACAGCACCGACACGAGTTTGGCCCACCCGGAAGGAGGGCTGCGCCGAAGGCTCCCTGCACCTGCGGCAGGTTCCCCAGCTCTTCCCGAAACCCAGGGCAGTGGGGTGGTGTGCCCCAGTTTGTGCCTCTGCGGGTTTTTCTGCCGTGGGTCTGCCTGCGGGGACCACAGTCAGAAGCTGGGTAGTCCTGGCGAACTGAAGCCGCAGCGCTGCCCCTGGGCAGAGGGATTGTGAGAGGCCTGCAGGCACGTGTGCCTTGGGCTGAGGCCCAGTCACAGCCAGCCCAGGCCGCTCGGCCTCAGCCTCAGCCCTGCTCCCCCTCATGTCCTCCATCGCTGGTCACTTGGCAGTGCACAGATGCCCGTCCCTGGGGACGCTGAATGACACAGACGAAAACAAAAAACCAAGTCGGGGGTGGGGGGTTACCATCAGCTTGACAGTGCATTAGACATAAGGTGGGAAACAGCCACCAGGAAACTGTCAGTTCTTTTTATTTCATTCATTTGTTTTTCATTATTTTCATAATGACTGGAGTGATGATTATGACCCTATAACAGTCATAATGCAAGAAACACATTTTTGATTCCACAGCCTTTGGTGCCTCAGAAACCACAGTTTGCTGTCTCATTGGTGAATCTTAACTAATTCTCCAAGGTGGTCAGAGCCCTCTTGCTTGTGTGGGCATAATGTTAAATTAGGCACCAGAATTAGAAATGCCCCATTACTAGCCATGCCAGGGCAAGGCCACAGGGTTTAACCCTTCAGCAGGTCCTCAGCTAGACCTCCTGGAGTGGCCGTCTCTCCTGCAGATCAGAGGACGCTGGGTAAGATAGGACCGAAAGAGTTTTGCTGCTCTGTTTTGTGCCCAGATTTATTCTAAGTAACTTGGAGTAAATGAGAAAAACAGGGTTCCTGGCCTCCCCAGTAGTTGACAGTCTGGCTGAGGAGGAAAGACAGTGGTACGTGGTAGTGCTAAATGGGACTTAATGCTCGTAAGTGCATTTAGAGTCCACAACCGTTAACTAATTATCTGTTGGGTATACTCACCAGTCAGAGCACTGGGAAAGGTAGAAAGACAAAATATACTATGTGGGTGGATGAAGAACATTCCAATAAGGGTCATTAGGAAAGCAGAGATGATCCAGGATGGGGGAAGAACAGCCTGCAGACTGTGGCCGGAGAGGAACGTTTAAGCTCCTCCTGCGCTGCTCCCACCAAAACAATACGGAGGCAGCCTTTAAAATCAGGACACTCCACACAAAAACCCAGATTTCATGCTGGAACAACTAGACATCCACATGCAAAAGACTAAATCTAGACACAGACCTGACACCTTTCACATTTACTCAAAATAGATCATAGATCTAAATGTAAAATAAAAAGCTATAAAACTTATAGAAGTCAACACAGGAGAAAATCTAGGTGACCTTGGGTTTGGCAATAACTATTTAGATAAAACACTGGAAGCATAATCCATGAAAAAAAAATTGCTAAATTGGACTTCATTTAGGTTAAAAACTTCTGCAAAACACACTACTAAGAGAATGAAAAGCCAAGCCACAGACTATAGGAGAAAATATTTGCAAAACATGTATCTGATAAAGGACCAGTAACTAAAATAAAAAACTCTTAAAACTCTATTAATAAGTAAACGAAGAACCCAGTTAAAAACTGAATGGTCACCTTACCAAAGAAGACATACAGGTGCAAATAAGCATATGAAAAGATGCTCAACATCTTATGTCTTTAAGGAATTACAAATTATAATAATGAGATATTTGCACACACCTAGTAGAATGACTAAAATCCAAAGCAATGACACCAGGTGCTGGTGCGAATGTGGAGCCACAGGAACTCCCATGCAGTGCTGGTGGGAGTGCAGAATGAGACAGCCACTTGGAAACGCGATTTGGTAGTTTCTTAGAAAGCTAAACATAGACTTACCATATGACACGATCCAGCAGTCACACTGCTAGGTGTTTACCCAAATGAGTAAAAAACTTATGTCCACAGAGAAACCTGCCCACAAATGTTTATAGAAGCTTTATTCATAATTGCCAAAACTTGGAAGCAACCAAGATGTTCTTTAGTAGGTGAATTGGATAAACAAACAATGGTACATCCAGACAATGGGATATTATTCATTGATAGAAAGAAACAAGCTGTGAAGTCATGAAAGGACATGAATGAACCTTTGATGCATATTATTAAGTGAAAGAAGCCTCTCTGAAAGACTACAATATGGTATGGTATCAACTATATGACATTCTAGACAAGACAAAACTATAGTCAGTAAAAAAATAAAATAGTGGGCAGGAGGGTGAGTAGGTGGAGCATGGGGCATTTTTAGGGCAGGGATACTATTCTGTGTGACAACTGTGATAGTAGGTATAAGACATGCATCTGTTAAAGCCTGCAAAACCCACAGCAGTTTTGTGAAGAATGAATCTGTAAACTATGCATGAGACTGATGCGCTGCCTACTTCGCTAAGAAAGCACTCAAGTAAACTATGGATTTTATTTGATAATAATGTGTCAGTATATCAGTATTGGTACATCATTTGTAACAAATGTACCAAACTAGTAAAAGATGTTCAGGTTAAAGGAGAAACTTGCAGAGTGGGTAAGGTATATGGAAACTCTAAGTTATTTTGAGCAATTTTTCTGTAACCCTAAAACTACCCCAAAAATAAAGTCTATTAATACGTGTCTTCTGAAATATAGATTTCTAGTTGCCTATGCAAGGTAGAAAATTTGGTCACAGGTCCAGTCCTGTCTACTGGCCTGCTTCGCTCTCTTGTATCTCCTGCCTTTCGGCCTGTGATAGATAAAATATGGCCAAAGAATATTTGCAGCCCCTCCCGTTTAGAGGTGGAGGCCTTGAATCTAGGCTGGCCTTCACCCTCTCACTTGATTTGTCCCTTAGAATGTGGTGGAAGTGATGGTGTGTGACCTGCAAGCCCAGGCCACAAGGCCTTGCAGCTTCCCATCCTGCCCAGCTGCCGTGGGAAAAGCCCAGGCCACCAGCCAGGTGAATGCAGCCACCTGAGTCCAGGAAAGACCAACAGAAAAGCTG